CCAGGGCAGAGCAGAGGGGCAGGAGAACCTCCCTGACCTGCTGCCCACACTCTTCCTGATGCCCCCCAGGAGCCCATGGGCCTCCTTGGCCACCAGGGCCCGTTGCTGCCTCATGGTCACCCTGTTGGCCACCAGGACCCCCAGGTCCTTGTCCCCAGAGCTGCTCTCCAGCAGGTCCCTCCCACCCTGTGCTGCTCCCTGGGCTTGTTCCTCCCCAGATGCAGGACCTGCCCTTGACCTTGAGCAACATCAGGAGGTTCCTTCCTGCCCAGCCTGTCCAGGTCACCCTGGTGGCAGCTCAGCCCTCTGGGTGTCACCACCCTCCCAGTTTCATGCCACCAGTGAACTTCACACTCAAGTGGTGATCAATGGCTCGATGTCCAGATGGAGACCAGTGATGAGTGGTGCTCCCCAAGGGCTGGCACTCAGACCACTGCTGTTCAACATCTCTGTCAGTGACATGGACAGTGGGACTGATGCACCCTCAGCAGGTTTGCTGATGACACCAAGTGTGTGTGAGGGGACAGGCTGGAGGACAGGGATCCATCCAGAGGGACCTGGACAGGCTGGAGAGGTGGGTCTGTGCCAACCTCATGGAGTTCAGCCAGGCCAAGTGCAAGGTCCTGCACCTGGGTTGGAGCAACCACAAGCACAGATACAGGTTGGGTGGAGAAAGGATGGAGAACAGTCCCAAGGAGAAGGAGCTGGGGTGGTGGTGGAGGAGGAGCTCCACATGGGCCAGCGCTGGAGCCCAGAAACCCACCCTGTGTCCTGGGCTGTGTCACCAGGAGTGTGACCAGCAGGGCCAGGGAGGGGATTGTCCCCTCTGCTCTGCTCTGCTGGGATCCGCTGGAGAACTGGGGCCGGTTCTGGAGCCCCCAGCACAGGGAGGACATGGAGCTGTTGGAGAGAGGCCAGAGGAGGCCCCGGAGATGCTGGGAGGGCTGGAGCAGCTCTGCTGCACCACTTGCCTCCACTTGGACATGGAGCCTTTGACCCCAACTTTCTGGCTGAGGCCACCCAGCCAATCACTTGTTCAAGTGGTCCATCTGTCAAATCCATGTCTTAACAGTTTGGAGAACAAACTTATCTGTTTTGAGGCTTCCTTGATTTCTTACTCTTTGGGATGATCCCATCTTGAGCTTGGAGGAAATGGGGCTGAAATATGAACCAACTCTCCTGGCCCACCCCAGCTTTCAGGGCCCCATCCCATTGGATTGGACAGAGCAGTTCCTTGGAGAGGTCAGTGTTGGCTCTTCTGAAGTCCAGGGTTGTGACCAAGCTACATGCTAGACATGGGCTTGGGGACATGAACTTGGGATTGTAGACTTGGGGACATGGGGCTGGGGAAGGGTTTGGGGTCATGGGACTTGGGACATGATCTGGGGACACCAGGTGGGGACACAGGCTTGGAGATGCAGGTTGAGGATGTGGGGTTGGGGACAAAGACTGGGGGACAGAGGCTGGGGACATGGGCTGGTGGCAGGAGTTGGGGAAGGGGTTTGGGACATCCCTTGGGGACATCCCTTGGGGACATGTCCTGGGCACTCGGAGGGTCCCCCCAGCTGGGTGAGGGGCTCAGGATGCCGATGG